AAACGACCTATTTTATGTTCAACGGCCGCATTTATGAGCAAATATTTGGCCTGCCTATAGGCTCACCACTCTCACTTCTGTTAGTGAATGTCTTCGTGGACAAGTTGGAGGAGAATTTCTGAATGTCACGCCAGCAGCCAACAGTAATTATGCGATATTTGGATAAATATTTCGCAATTTGGTTGCATGGAAGATAAAAATTGGACGATTTCCTCATCTCCATTATTGGAATGGATGAAAAAGTCAGATTGAGCATGGTTGTAAAAGAGAAAGGAAACTTACCTATATTGGATGTATATTTTATTCAAAACGAGGAAACTTTTAAGAAAAGACTTTTCTGAAAGAAAACGCATGCTGGAATAACCCTTAGCATCCAGTATAACCATACTTATGGGATCAAGGTCGGAATAATACGTAATCGAGTACGGGAATTAAAGACTCTTGGACAGCCAGACAGCGATTTAGTGGTTTAGCAGCGGTCAATTGACAAGCAAGTAGGACAAAAACAGGAGGGAGGGCAGAAGGTAGGTCATGACCCCGCAAGCGGAATCTGGTACCGGTGGTGGAGATGGTTTCTCTTCCCTAAACCCACCTGTAGCGGCGCTCTTAGGCGACATTGGAGAAAACAAGAGTACTGCATTGCGTGAATGAGTGGATGGATCATATGAAGTGAGGTTGAGAGAGAGAGAGAGAGAGAGATATGCGGCACTAGAATGTAGAACAGAAAATAGGGGCGAGGAGTGATGACCCAACGGTCGAACAAAAAATTGGTCAAGGAGATGACCTTCACTTGTTACTTTGATGAGTTGTAATTCTGTGCTTACGATGGCGCCTTTCATTGGCGATGCCGTCGAAATGTTTGGGGATGTACCAAATCAATGGTCGAATGCTGGAAATCACGAATACCACGGCAGAGAACACGCCGTCGTCGAGTGCTATAGCAAATATAAGTCTGCTTCATCGACACTCCCACCACAGAATGTGATTTGGGAAAATGCCTGACCTTCCTTGAAATTCACATCTTCCCTTTGACCCAAGGGCACTCGTGGCAATGTGGCGTAGTTGTTGACGTGTCGAGATAGCACACTGCACTGACATGGTTCGAGTCCCGCTGGGAGTGTCGCTAAGACAAAGGCGAAGTCAAAACTGCTGTCGCCCCCAGCCGGGATGAGAATACTTTGTGGGAAAGAAAGGCTATGTAAAATACAATGGAAGTGTACAGTCTATTCATATGATTGTGGGAAAATTCAACCACCATTTCTTCACCACCTTAAACCAAATTTGTGTGAGCACATCTCGGCGTCTCGAGCACTCTCATCCTGCTCGACTGTAGCTTTGACCTCGCCTCGCCGTCTCCTCAGCACCCACAACGGGATCAGAATCCGGGCCGTGATGGGTGTTGTGTGCTTGGTGGGAAAACACAGTTTTATGCTGTAGTCGTCGATGAGGCAATCGACGAAGTTACCTTTTTTCGGCCTCTGTATGTTTCTGAGCCATCCGCAATTTTTGAGTAATGCACCCATCTCGGGATTGAGTCACTCAATTGACTTGGCAGGGCATTCTTGCCTCGAGGCATGCGTGTTCTTAATCTTGCGGCCCCACCGATTCACGGACTTCTTGCCGGCCTTCTTCATAGGCCAAGTTTCGAGTCCCGGCAGAAGGCTGGCAGGAGGACTGATCTTGCGTTTCGTTACTTTGGCTTGTTGCGTTCAATCCTTTTGGGAACGAGCTCTCGAAAGAAGTTTCTTGCAGAGGTTTCGGGCACCAGGACTCTTTGACGATGGTATTGTCCAGGCAGGGGATTTACTCAATTCTTATGAATACCGCAAAATGAGTTTGGACAAGCATGTTTACAGACCGGCTGAATGTCCTGACAACACCACAGTCCGTTGCGATTTAGGAAAGACAAACTTCTAATTATCAGTGATTTCATGACCTTTTGCCTGAAGTTGAAGAGGGTTCAAGCTCTGTTTGTAGCTTGCCTCCTGTTCCATTGTTCCATCACAGAGCTATTCAGCAAATATTCAGCACATCTTGAGCATGCATTGAAGACCCGAGTGTGGTCGTTCGCTCTGTGCTCGAGGGGGATACCACAGGAATCCTAATTGGGGTATGATTTGGATGTGATTTGGGCATACATCCTAGTTTGTATGTTAGTATGTTTCGAAGCGATCTGTGCTTTGTGAAGAGGGGACTTTAGTCGGCCCACGATGCC